AAAGAGTATTTTCAATGCATGGTTAAGTTGTTGAATGTCAGCTTCTGCTGTGGCACAAAAATAACAATTTCTTATAAGCAAATTATCGAATTACATACAATGATGAGAATAAACTTACACGATCCATAAACACCAACTAACAAAATGTAGATAAAAAAACTAAATCTTGACAATTTTAAAGTCATGAACAAAATGTGGCACCTTGGATTCCTACCAATCATATGCTTGTATTAAAACTCAATGTACAGCAAATACGACAACATGGGCAATGAAGGAAGTAATATACCATGCACTACATCTAGTAAAACAATATATGGTACATGGATAAATATTTTGGGATGTCATAGAAAAGAAGTAAAAGCACTACTCTGTTTAGGATAGCTTATTCTTCTTTTTGTAGAAGAGTTTCTTAATGACGTCACCTTGAACTAGCTTCCACTAAAAGCTTTCCACTTCGACAAATCTATACAAAAAATTATCGCAACATGTCCAAAATAGTCTCAAAAGCTACTTAGGTTTTTTAAAAGCCATGCTAAATAAGCCTAAGTTTCAAACTCTTAGTCATTGGAGCAAATAAGGAGTTACAGAACATACAAGAATGGCTTCCAAAAAGCTTCCTTCTGCCATTAGAATGTGTTCTGGACATTTTCAAGCAAGAATATCCATTATGAGATTTGTCAACTGTGACGTAAGTTGCAATGGATCTATCCTTGATCTCATTAACTCTCCGGCCCTTTTGACTGTATTCGATGCATCAGATGACAATGCGAGATTAAGTAAATCGAGCAATTCATCATCAGAGACAACTCCGATATGTACCGACAAACATGAAATTAGATTGATAATCCTAATGTCTGCAAACAAAGTAAATAAAAGAATATCTAAACACTCACTACTTCATAAACCAAAGATATTGTAATCTTTTTTCCAACCAAACTCAGTTGATCAAGCATCATCTCTGCATCCCGAAGTGAACCTTTTGATTTAGTAGCAACGAAATTTAAAGCATCCAGGTCAAAATCAACACCTTCAGCCACACATAATTTTCCCGACCTGCTTATGATGTCAATTTCTTTTAACTTTGTATATTGATATTTTTGAGACTTCGATACTGCATTATGAGGCAGTTTATCAAGTTCAAGAGTAATCGCAATGAAAACAACACGTTGAGAAAGTTCCTCGAGGTTGTTCAATATAGTTGCCCAACTTTCCCCTTTTAACAAGTGGCACTCGTCGATGATATAAACCTTAAATCGTGAGGAAATCTCTGCATTCTTAATAAGTGATTTGATTCTTTCTTTTCTATTGATTCTCACTGAATCAACTTCCTTGACGTTCCTGTTTCTTCCAGAAAAGAATAGAAGACATTCTTGGCACAAGCCACATGGTTTGTCAATATAAAAAGAAAGACAATTCAATGCGGCATCAAATATTCTCGAGGCAGATGTTTTTCCAGTTCCACGGGGACCGTGAAAGAGAAATAGGGATGTTATCCGCCTATTAGAGATTGCAGTTAGAAGAGACCTTGCAACTACATTTTGCCCCACAAATTCTTTGAATGATTTTGGTCTAAATTTTTTACCTAGGCTGTTAAGACTATCCAGGTATGGAGTAACTCCTTCATTATTGTGCTTCCATCCCGTTTTGTGTTCAATTACTGGTGTTTTGCCAATATGACCCAACAAAAGAGGTTGCTCCTCTACAAAAGAGAAAAGTTGTATGATTTATATACGTCTTTTTTGGTAGAAATTAAAATTCAGATTTTAATTGAAGTTAAAATCAACAACTCATTTTAACCACACATTTTATGAGACCCAAACTTTTTCACCACACATTCATCGACTTTTATCAAAATCTACTTAAAATTTGATTTTAATCCCCACCAAATAGGGATACAATGTGTTGTTAAAATTAATTATATATATACATGTGTGTGTATTTATCCAACTTAAATTGGAGTTGTCAGCCAAAAAATAATTGGAGCAGGAGTGGAGCACTTACTCTTTAGTAAATGCAAGGACGGCGGAGAGCGGCCTAGCTAAAATTAGGGATGGGCAAAACTCGACCGAACCCACCAAAATCGCTCAACTCGATTGGTTTGGGTTGATTTTTTTGTTGTTTTTACACGAGTTGGGTGGGTTGGCTATGTATGCAGGTTGAGTCGGGTCGGGTTATGGGTTAACTCATGAAAATCGAATAAACTCGTCCAACCCGACCCATCTACTTAAAAAAAAAGAAATAAAAAGAAAAAAAATAAAATGCTTAAAAAGTAAAGGAACCTAAAAAGTATGAGTGAATATTGTAACTCTAATTAATTTGGTGCATTTTAGAGATCCTCAAATGAGAGGAAGGGTGTTCTTTACACAATATTGAAAAGGTACAATACAATTTACATAATACAAGAAACATCTGAGCTGATTACTCTTAACTTATTCATAATAGATAATTTTATTTATTTATTTATTTACTTATTATTTAATCCTGCCTATTCGAATTTAGTATAATAGACAACTTGATGACTTTAATTTTTCTTGACAAGTTGTCACGAACCGACCAATCCAACCCAACCCAACCGATACTTGATTGAGTTATGTTAGGTTTCAACCTTTATATGGGTTGTGTAGAGTTAAATTTTGATCAAATCGATCATGTTGGGTTGAGGCAAAAATCGACTCAACCCAATCCATGCCCACCCCTGGCTAAAGCAGTGACGTTTTTGCTTCAAAAAATGATTCATCAGCGATTCAGTGAAAAAGGAGAGGTTTTGAATTCGAGTTTCTAGTTTTGGAGTGGAGCAAATAAACTAGGTTTGGTTTGATTCTTTTTTCTTTTTCCAAATTTTATGAAAATTAGGAATAATCAAATTGAAAATCAATTGTTCTTCGATATTAGAATTGAACAAAACTTAAAAAAAGAGAGAGAGTGTGTGTGTGTGTTAAATTTTGTGAAAAAAATGAAAATTATTTAATTGGATTATCAAAAAATATGAACCAAGAACATGTTGGATACAGGTTTCAAGAACCAAAATTATTTGAAACCACACTCAGAATCGAATTGAATTATTTGTTTTGGTTTGGTTATAATTTTGCTTAACTCTAAAACGATTCCTCACGTATTCTCCATAATTAAAATAAATAAATAAATAAATGTTATATTGTGTAATCTAATACGATGCAATTAATATTGTACTTCAATTATTCAATGATATAATAAATTTACTTCTATCATTATGGGTTATTATTATCTACACCACCATGTTGCCTGCATTTATATCTCCTTAAACAAATTAATATGTTGTGAGACGTTTGTTATCAATCACGAAAAATTGTAATTAGTACCCGTTCATCTGTTCATTATCGTGACTTGATGTTGACGTAAAGAGCGTGAACAGAAGTCAACCAATCCATATAGTAGTCCTGGTACAGTAAATGGATTGTGTGTTCTCAAATTTAATTTTAAATTAAGTTACAAAACTTAAAATAAGTTTTTAAAACTATGTGCAATGAAATATTATGGGCTTAAATGATATATTTTAAAGCCTGGACTAAATTATATAAAACTACGATAAGGACCTATGTCCACATTCCTTGTAAACTAGCTCCGTGGAACCTACAAATACTGTTAACTTATAAACCATCAATTTTTATATATTTAAAATTTAAATTGATTATAAACAATTCGTAAACATGCTTTAGGTTTTAATGTTTTGCAAAGTCGAAAAATTCTTCAAATGGAAATCATGGGATCATTTTTCATTTTTATATGCAATCACGGAATGGAACATTCATTGCTACCACATAAAAAATTTAAAAAAAAAAAAAAAAAGTTAAGGGTGTGTTTGATTGCAAGGATGGAAAGAAAATGAATTCTAGGGAAAATATTTGCCTAGAAAATTTTTTCCCTAGAATTGTCAATTAGTTGCGTTTGATTGATATAATTTTCCACTTAAAAAATGTTGAGATTTTCCAACTTTTGGTATTTGATTGACTTTGTTTTCTATGGA